TTCAGCCCATGCTTAACTACACTACACAGCAGAAGAGTGGGGAGGGAAGGGCCTGGCTGAGAAATACTGCTCATCTTACAGCCGGAAGGAAGCAGAGAGAGAAAGGAGTCGTCAGAGAGCAGGGAAGCCTTTCTAGGTCACGCTGCCAGGGCCCCACCACTTCCCACCAGATACCCCCTGGCCCCTGCCAGCACTACATTTGGCTATAAATGCATCCTAAATCAATCCCCTGATGAGCATAGCGCCCATGATCCAATTACCTTCCAAACATGTGAGCCTTGGAGGATCAAAACCGCAGGGGTGTTCAGCCCTCTGGGTTATCAACAAAAGAGCACATTAGCACCTAAATCTGTTGGGTACAACCTGGTTCTACCAGTGAACACTATTTACTTGATTCTGGTTTATTGTATCATCAGCTATATTTCAGAATATATGCTAAGAGTTTCTGCCAAAAGAAAGTATTGCAAACAAACTCAGTGCATGTATTGTATACAATAGTAGCATCCTCTAAATGGTGATGGTGTTGGACCACTTTCGGCCTACTAATAGCTAAAACAGAGTAAGACAGATATTGAAGGACCTTATTTCTATGCTGTCACAAATATTTAGATCAAATATTTAAATTAAAAATCATGCATGTATTTGTATATAACTATTATATGCCAATTGGCTCACATGCTTTATTATGGGGCAGTTAATAGCTTAAAAACTTATTATCTCTTCCTAAGAGTGGTTTTATGGACACTATCACATTTAAAAATGTGTAACCAGTCTTTAGTAGTTGGATAAATATAATAGAGTACTGTGGATACTATGAGCTTGTCAAACTCTTGGAAATGTGATACTATTAAGGAAATGGTGAGTAGTACCCACATAACTTCTGGCCACACTTCAGAGGTGCAGCTGTGTTGGGTGTATTTGAACATCTTTTTGAAATGTGATGGAAGGGCTCAACCTTCCAGACATTGAGGGGTCGGTTTCCTTTTCTCAAGTGGAGCTGAGGTCCTTTGTGCCCGTTCTCTGCTCTCTAACCTGAGAGAAGGAGCTGGGCTCTGATGCCTTCCAGGACCAAGACAGGGATTGCTGTGAGCAGGGATTTTAGGTGGAGAGAGAGACTCTGAGCCTCCCCCTGTACTTCCCTGTGAAGAAATGAGGCCAGGAGGAGTGAGGAGAGCCAGGCTGTCAGCCTCTCCCTGCTGCTGTTGCCTGCTACCCACTGCGGGGGCTCAGGGGACCTCTGCCCAGAAGGGACTCGAGCAAAGCTTTCAGGGTCAAGGGCCATGACAATAATTCTTGATCTGGAACAATTCATAGGGAATTCTGGGATTATTTTCATGTATGTTATTGTCATTGTGTATCTTCCCATCTCACGTCAGCCAATACTAGCCACCACTGTTATGTCTATCTGTTTACTTTGTCCTTCTCCCTGTGGACACAGACTGACCTACTGTGAATGGTGAGGCAAACGCATCACCTTGGTGGCAGCACTGTCCTTACCATCTGACCACAGCAGCAAGGCCTGGGCTGGTGTGGGGACATCTTTGTCTCTCTCAGTCTGCGCACAAATTGGGCCAGGGCCTGGCATCCTAGAGTCCTGTGTGTCCCCCATCAGGCTCACGGCTGTTTCAGAGTTCAGATCACACCCACTCCCTAATTTCAAGCATTGGCTCTGATTTTCTTCTGTATTTTTGTAATTGCCTCTTTTCATAACTGAGACAGCAGATGTGAAAAGGTTTTGTGTGAGTCATCCCTGCACCCACTTGCAGCTTTCTGTCTCCGGCGTCTTCTGAGTGCACTTCTGGGTTTCAGTTTAGGACCAGAACCAGCTCTGTCTGCCTCTCACTCCAAACTGGAATCCTCTGCCTCAGAACCATGCCTGCCTCTCACTCCAAACTGGAATCCTCTGCCTCAGAACCATGCCCAGCCTCCTCCTGGAATGCAGACACTGACTTCTGCTAGTGCAGTTTCCTTCTGATTCTAACTCAGAAAGCACCCAGCTTTACAGAGCGCTCTTGCTTCTTTCCTTTTTTCCATTAAAATCAACTGCCCCTACTGACTCAGACCATGGCTGAAGTCAGTGGGCACTTTTCACAGGCCCAAGGGGACAATCACATGCCAACCTAGGATTAGTGCTCCTTCCTGCAAAGGGCCTCTTACCTATTTGACATACAGACCAAGAATCACTTTCAGCAAGTTCAGAGCAACCTAGCAGCAAGCTCAAGTGTCAAATGTGAGATTCTTAGGCTTTGCTCCTTCACCCTCAGCTACAAAGCTGGACTTTATTTATTTAACTTTTGAGAGGGGGTTCTAAGTTACAAAATCGCCCAGGTTGTGCTTAAAAATACGATCCTCCTCCCTCAGCATCTTGTAGTACTGACTTTGTTTGCTTTCAGTGTACATCATTAGCCCTATAAGTATTTCCTCTTAGTTTATTTGGACACCAGACTTTTAGATGGATGCTGACCTCACAGCAGTATTATAAAACCAGGTTAAAGGAAATTAGGGCAAGAAACATTTTCAGACAGAAAACTCTAATTGTCCAGTGGTTTTTACAGCTTGTCCTCCTGCATAGCCACACTTGTGTTTTGCACTGAATCACCTGCACCAAAGCAGTCCTGTTTCTCATGTTTAATACATTGGCAGGATAAACTATCTGCTGATGATCACTTAGGTACGTGAGCTCCAGGACAGATTTGCATTGAGTAAGTGGACACCTTGCTCTGTAGTGCACGTGTCACATCTTGACAAGAGTGCAGTGGGGACCCTTGGGACTCCAGAAGCTGAGAGCACTGGGTGTTAAAAGCAGTGGCAGGAGGCAGGGTTTGCCATGGATGGCACACCATGGGGAATTACGGATGGCTGGCATCTTCTTAAGTCTCAGGCAGACTGAGAGAGATGAAGAGAAAGTTAAAGAGGAGCAAATCGCTTGTAGTGAAGGGGGACTCATTGGGTCCAGGCTGGAAGGACATCTGGCCACCCACGTGACTGGAAGAGCACTCCAGGCTGAGTCCTCAGCCATGGTTGCTCTATGGTCTTGCTTCCTTTGAGTCCAGCACGGAGTGGTCTTGTCTGGCCTTGATGTTCTCTAAAATGCCTTACACTTGACAGATTACCAAACGCCTCTGTGGGCCCTGGCTCAGGCCTGGGGAGTCGGAGCTGATTCTGCATCTCTGTAAAACAAGCATGTGTGTGCATGAGTACTTGTGCACACATGTTGGAGCAAGTGTGTGCATACACAAGTACCTCTGCACACATGTGAGAAGTTTTGGACCAAAGTGGACTTCTTCAAACTTAGGTTACATTTTCATGTTTTTGTTAATAAAATTAAATTATTTTTATTAAAAAAAAACAAACTAGCTCTTTTGCAAGTTGTACTTTACATATTTATTTCTTTTGTTTTAAAATTAAAGGTCTGTAACACTGGGCATAAAAATACATGTAATTGTGAGATATTTGCATATGATATGAAAAGAATAAGTGAGTACTAAAAAGATTAACCAAAAATAATAGCTGTATTCCAAAAGGGAGACAAATTTTAAAGCTTTGTTAAAATGAAAAAATAAAAATGATTTATAGAGATGTTTTTCCAAATCATAGTTTCGATTATGCCTTAACTAGCCTGCCCACACACTGCTGAAAAAAAGAGAAAAATGACACTTCTGTGGCAAAGAGGAAATAATTATTATTTCTGAAACATTTATTCCACTATGTAGTACTGAGCAAGTCTGCTTAGACACAGCAAATCGTCCTCCTTCGTAGCCACACTTGCATTCTGTATGGAGCTATCTATGCCAAATGGTCATTTTTCTCACATTTATTATGTTAACAGGATAAACGCCAACATTTGTCAACATCTTGTAAATGATGAGTCTTAATGAGCCAAGCTACTGTTTTCCTCCTCTAAGGAATTTCATAGCAGAATAAGCAAAATATCAGGTTAAAGCAAGTGGGAGGGAATCCCAGCGAGCAAACCTTCTCTGTAAACATAAATTCCTTGAGGTTTTGCTTCGAGTGGGTTCTAGGATCCAGGCCAATTTGGCCAAAACCTGTAGACAACGTTTTAATTATATTTTTAACAAATCCTGTAACATGAGGTTCACATGTTGATTCAGCCAAAAAAAAAAAAAAAAAAAAAAAGGCATTATCTGAAAGCCAAACAGAATGCATGAGAGAGAAAGAGAGAGAGATACTGAGATTCAGAGCTGTTGCCAAAAACCAGCGAGGACCAGTGCATTCAGGAGCCCAGTTTGTGCTACTCCCGGTGGGGCAGGTGCAGAGAGAAGACAAGCTTGCTTTTGAACAAAGGGTCTGGAGTTGTTTACTGAGCACGTGTGTGCCCGGCTCGGAGCAGAAAATGCATTTATAAGCACCTTGCTTGTGTAAGAGGACCCACCGCAAGAGAAGCGTGGCATGTATCACAGTACGGCTGCCTGTGTTCCACAGCAGTGTCAGGGGTCAATGCAGGACCACGGTCCACGCCACCATTTCAGGCTCAGAGATGCTCAGCCACTGTGTTGAAATCACAACTCTTATAATCACAAGCTGAATACACTGGGCCACATCCCCTATGCCACTTGGTCTCATTTGCAGTGTGGAGATAATAGTGCCTCCTCTATAAGAGCGCTTCAGTTGCGAGAGGTGATGGACAGAATGTTGCTTCAGCATTGCAGTTTCTGTTATAATCACACCTACTATTTATTGGAGACTTCTAACCCATGAAATGGAAATCAGATAGCAAATGACTGACGCCAAAGCATCTGATATAAAATAGCACCCACCTTATCATATGGAATGGCGTGTGTCTCTGGGGGTGCACTCAGGATGCGGTATTCCCATAGGAACCCTAGAATCCTTTATAAAAGTAACAAGCCCACATTACAGTTCCCCTATTTAGCCCTTCTCCTTAATATCATTTTCTAGACAACATTTCTAAAATGCTGGGAAAATAAGATTTGGTAATTCAGCTGAAAATGATAACAAACTGTTTGCTATGGTTACAGTTCTCAGAGGACCAAGATGGCTGTTGCTGCTCCAGATATTTTGCATATATCCCAAGTAAAAGGAGGCAGTATGGCAACCACATGAAGAAAACAAGCTTTCTCAGGTATTGTATGCACATTTCCACTTAAATAACCCATGGTTACCCCTCACTGTTGCTTGTTATTTTGCTTTGTCTTATATTGACTATTTTGCAACTACCATACAAGCAAATTCATGGTAGGTTAGAAAGGAAATGAGAAGATAGTTTGCCAGGTTGACCTGTACGTGTTAGGTGCATGGCAGAGAGAAGGCTGGCAGACATACTGGCCTGTGTCTGTGTGTGTGTGTTCTAGGAGCAAGGAGCAAATGACTGGGCTGGGACATAGAAAAGGGAGGAGAGAGTGGGAAAATAGAGGTGCTGATCACCAGGATGACAAGCACCATGGGCAAGGAAGAGAAGGAGCAGAGTCTGCCAGAGCAGTGTTGCCGATGATGGCAGGAGTAGCGGGGCACACAAATGCGCCAGAGCCTGAGTTAAGTACGAGTACCACGGAGTGTTCTCCAATGCTTACTACTAGCCAAGCTGAGCTCTCAGCCAGCTGCGGAGACTTGGCTGTCAAGTCAGTCAGCAAACACAGCCAGCTTTGGTGACAGTATGGTCACTGTCCCAGCTGCTCTGCTCCATCCTGTGGGACAGAAGCCGCTTCTGTGACACAGGAGAGGAGATAGTAATATGTCCTAAGAGAACTTTATTTACAAAGTCAACCGCAGGGGGGCAGGACCTGCTGGACTCTGTCCTCGGTGCTGAACAGGAATGAACTCAGTAATCTTCAGATCCAATGGAAGAGGCAATTTCAACCCCGTGTTCTAGATGGGAAGATTAAGGCGGGGAAACTGCAGGTCACCCGCCTGGTGACAGGGCTTGCCTGCTGCACATTCTGTGTTCCCAACTGCTCAGTGTAGCTTCTCTTCAGCTGAAGGCTTCTGGGGGGTGGCTTCAGGCGCAGGCAGGACAGGGGAGCAGCTGGTGACTGTGGAGGAATCCAAAAGGCTGGGAAGGAACCAGGAGTGAATCTGGAGTGAGCAGCTCTTCCTCAGTGTCTGGCTGTGAGGGAGAAAAGACTCAGGCCGAGGGGGAAGAGGAGTCCAAACAAGAACTGCTGAAGACGGAAAAGACAATTTGTGCATGTTTAGCTGATAGCAGGATGATTTAAAAAAGATTATAAAGAGGTTTTGCAAAAGACCAGAATAAGAGGCACAGAGCTGGGGACAGATTCCTCTCTAGAGCAAGCACGGTGATGACTGCTGAGTGCAAGGACAGGCACTTGTGCGGGGACAGGGGATGGAGAAGGGAATCTTTGTCCAAAGGCTGCCACTCCTTCCTGTGCCATAGGAAGACCATCTAGGCAGAGAGAAATGTCCAGATATCAGGAAGAAGAGTTTAACTATTTGCTCTATGGAAAGAGTTAAAAGAATGAATTGCATGGGGCTGCTGAGGGCTCACCAGCAAAGCCTTCACAGACATGAAGGGCCCCTGGGAGGGACATGGTCATTCACAGGGCTGGGAGGGGCAGGCTGTATGGATGGGCTCAACGGCAACAAGAAACTGGCCAGTTAGGAAGCCATGGGTCTCATCTAAAAGAGAGGCATAGCTCTGTATCTAAGAACATACTGTCACCCACTGCCAAAAAGTGTCCACTGGGATAGAAGAAAACGACAAGCTGACCAGGGTGGATGGAGATGCTGGGGACAATGAGATTGGAATGGCAAACCTTGACCCATTGCACAGTGACCCCCAAGAAGCACAGGCCTAATTACAGGGAGACCAAGGATCCCCTGGCTGCTTGCCACAAGCTGGGATGCAACTGTCAGTCAGTCACTACCCAATCCTTGCTTTCCTTTAAAATCTAGAACAAGAAAAGCACGCAGCTGTCTGCCCTGTGATCCTAGAGGGGAATCTCAACAGCTCAGAAGCCAAATAATTCAGTAAAGGAGGCAGAGGGAGGAAGGAAGCCCATGGATAGGCAGGGACAGATAGATGGGGGGCGGGGAGCAGAATCACTGGGGTGACTGTGGCAGGAACAGGGAGCCCAGACAGTAGAACCACACACCTTGGTGGGGCAGTAGTTCTCAGCATGTGACTCTGGGCTGAACTGAAGGAGTGTGCAGTGATGGGGAACTCATGAGACATCCTCAGGGAACCTGTAGGATGGGAGAGGACAAAGCTATGGAACACATCCTTGGTGTACAATAGAATGGGCCTGATCAAGATGTCCTGGTAGAAAACAATGTCTACACATTTGCAACCACTTGCTTACACATGTGTGAGGACACACACACACACACACACACACACACACACACACACATCACAATCCAAATGGATATTTCCAGCCCTTGAAGAAGGACAGGACTCTTGGTTGATCATAAACCTCTAATTTGAAATCTGTTCTGTTTCTTGAAATTGATCTCTTGTGTTTGGCTCCTCCCTGATTCACTTACCTTGATCATGATGCACAGCTTCAAATAAATTTTTCTTAATCCCCTAGATGGTTCGGTTTCCAGGGATGTGGGTTATGCTATGCTGGAATATGCTGTGGGTTCTGCCAGTGAGTATCTGCCAGCCAGTTCTGAAAGTATCGCAGATCTTTCAGTGTAAAGTACTATGAAAAAAATATTTAGGAAATATCCAAATGGAAGCATTTCACCTTATGGGATTGGTTTGTTTGCTTTTGTTTGAGTTACTCACTAAGTAATCCAGACTGGCCTGAAAATCCTGATTCCCCTGACTCAGCCTCCCAACTGCTGAGATAACAGCCCGGCACCTCCAGGCCCAGTTTAACTTTATGTTACTCTGATAGCAGAGCCTACAGTCTTGCTAATCCCACTGTGGTTTCCATTCTTGCAAGCCTTCTGATCACTGCAGGGATAGCAGGAGGCCTTCAGAGAGAGAAGGAAGGAGGAGGGAGACAGGGAGAGCTGTAGGCAGTGGGCAGCCAGGTGGGCACAGGGGTCCCACGATGACAGAGCCTTAAATTACTCTGGTTTCTCCAAGCTCTCTGCCACCACTTTCCCCAGTGTCCACCAGACTCTCAGGTCACGATGGCCACCCACCTCCTCCTGGTCTCCCTCTTCAAGGGTGCACGCTGAGGTGGAGTCAGCCTGACCTGCACTGCAGCACAGTGAGTTCCGCTGCGTTTCTGAACCACTTCTCCAAAACATTTCCTGTGGAGAAGAACAGTGGAAGAGTTTCTAGAATTTAGCAAGCATCATGTCAAGTTCAGTTGTGAAGCTGAGAAACTGGAAACTGTGCGAATAGAAAGAATTAAACAAAGAGCATGGAATAAGGCCAGGGGCAGCATCCTATGACAGAGTTCTGCTTTTGCTTCCTGACTGTCTTGATTTAAAACCCATCTGTAAGAACAGGGTAGAGAAGAAGAAGTAACTCGAGCATCACAGAAGTCCTCTTTTCAAACACAAAGATTTGTTCCAGAGGTCCATGTCAAAGGTGATAGAAGGAGAGAGGTAACTCAAGCGTGCTTTATTTTTCTGTCTCAAAGACACTGAAGGGTTTCATCAAGCACCTCAGATTCAGGGTTGGAAAATATGTCACAATTTCCCTATAAATCATTTTCTTGATTTCTACATTCTGAGTTTGTAAACTAATGAGACCACCTAACGCACATGGTAATAACACCAATTAGTCTTCTTGGAAAGGAAATTAATGAAGAGCTTAGTGTTTTTTTTTGTTTTTTTTTTTTTTTTTTGCTTTCCAATAAATATTAGTTCTATATAGCAGTGCATTTATAAATTCTGCAGATGAGAATCGTGAAGGAAATTGAGTAGGAAAGCATTCATTGTGTAACACAAGAAAAGCAGACACTGATTAGAAGAAATAAGAGCTTTTGACTAAAGGAAAGTGATGCTGAGGGTGCTGGCATGAAAGTGCTCAGTCTGACAATGTCCAGTCCCGTTGAAGTGGCTTGGATGCAAGACTCCTGAGCAGGGCTAGGAAAACATCACTGTGCAACCCTCAGGACAGGCGTGCTGGCTGAATCAGGTGTCCAATCCAGAAATGCCATAATTCCAAGAAGGAACCAATGAGTAACTGGAGACAATGTCAACAGCCAACACCCTCTCTGGGATGCTGGTCTTCCCGCACAGTGCTCCAGGAAAACTGTACAGGAAAAACGGACTCTGTGAAAGTCATAATATTGCTACCATGACCTTCTGTCTGTAGTCTCAAGTGTAGAGTAAGATCTAGATTCTTCCCTTGGCTCTGCCATTGATAAAAAGCTCTTTGTCCATTGGAGAATTACCTGAATTTTCGGTCTTAGTTTCCTTATGGAGCAAATGCCCACAATAGTAATGCTCACCTTGTGGGCTTCTGAAAAGGGTGTTTTAAAAGAACTAATGTAAATCACATAGCACAGAATCTAAACAGAATAAGTAGCCAGTCACTAGTGTTGGACAGTATTGGTGAGATGCACTTCCACAGAGAAGTCACTTAAGCCATTGGCCTGATCCTTCCTTTTTCAGCCACATAAGCTGCTCTCCTTTTGGGTGAAATCATCCCAAGCTTTGGGCCCCACAGAGGAGCTGGGTGTGACTGCCAGGAAGAGGAGTATGGGAAGACAGTGTCACAGAAAGGGCAGCATTCTTTTTGCAGTGCAGAAAATTTCCATCCTGCAGAGCTTGGAATCACTGTGGTACCAGAGCTGAGAGCCAGCAGCCACCTACAGGGAAGGGAAGGGCCACAGTCTCTCATTGCTGGGTGAGTTCCTTAAGAGTCTTAAGGAGCTCTGACAAAACACCTGAAGCTTTTACCACTGTGACAAAAATACTTGAGAAAATGAGAACTTCCAGCCCAGGTCCACATGGTGCTGATACCTTCAATGGGTGGTGAAGGAGTACATTATGACAGGAGTACAGGAAGCCTGTGTGCCTCATGGCAGCGACACAGCAAAGAGGGCGAGAGAAAGTGTGTGGGGTTTCAATAGCCCCTTAGGAGTCACACCCCATGACCTCACTTCCCCCTACTATGTCCCACTTCCTGCAGGATTCATGTCCCACAGGCTGAAACCAAGTCTTCAATGCACAGGCCTTTGGAGAATTTAAGATCCA